TGTATTGTATGTATTGTATGTATTGTATGTATTGTATGTATTGTATGTATTGTATGTATTGTATGTATTGTATGTATTGTATTGTATGTACATGTATTGTATTGTATTGTATGTATTGTATCGTATGTATTGTATTGTATGTATATGTATTGTATGTATATGTATTGTATGTATATGTATTGTATGTATTGTATGTATTGTATGTATTGTATGTATTGTATGTATTGTATGTATTGTATGTATTGTATGTATTGTATGTTTTGTATGTATTGTATGTATTGTATGTATTGTATGTATTGTATGTATATGTGTTGTATGTATATGTATTGTATGTATATGTATTGTATGTATATGTATTGTATGTATGGTATGTATGTAAGTTATGAAAGTTATGTAAGTTATGTAAGTTTTGTAAGTTATGTAAGTTATGTATGTATGTATGTATGTATATTATGTTATGTTATGTTATGTTATGGTTTGTTATGTTAAAATATATTTTGTTATGTTATGTTATGTTATGTTTGTTTGTTTGTATGTATGTATGTAGTGTATGTATCTATGTAAGTATGTATGTATGTATGCATGTATGCATGTATGTATGTATGTATGTAATGAATGCATGTAATGTATGTAATCTTTGTATGTTTGTATGTTTGTATGTTTGTGTGTAAGTATGTATGTATGTATGTATGTAATGTATGTATGTTTGTATGTATGTATGTGTGTGTGTATGTATGTATGTATGTATGTAATGAATGCATGTAATGTATGTAATCTTTGTATGTTTGTATGTTTGTATGTTTGTGTGTAAGTATGTATGTATGTATGTATGTATGTATTAATGTATGTAATGTATGTAATGTATGTATGTATGTATGTATGTATGTATTAATGTATGTAATGTATGTAATGTATGTAATGTATGTATGTAATGTAATGTAATGTAATGTAATGTAATGTAATGTAATGTAATGTAATGTAATGTAATGTATGCATTCATGCATGCATGCATGCATGTATGTATGTATGTATGTATGTAATGTATGTATGTATGTATGCATGCATGCATGCATGCATGCATGCATGCATGTATGTATGTATGTATGTAATGTATGTATGTATGTATGCATGCATGCATGCATGCATGTATGTATGCATGTATGTACGTATGTATGTATGTATGTATGTATGTAGTGTATGTATGTATGTATGTATGTATGTGATTATGTATGTGATTATGTATGTTAGTTATGTATGTTATGTATGTTATGTATGTTATGTATGTTATGTATGTTATGTATGTTATGTATGTTATGTATGTTATGTATGTTATGTATGTTATGTATGTTATGTATGTTATGTATGTATGTATGTATGTATGTAATGTAATGTATGTAATGTATGTTATGTATGTATGTATGTATGTATGTATGTATGTATGTATGTATGTATGTATGTATGTATGTATGTATGTATGGTAATGTGATGCAATGTAATGTAATGTAGTGTATGTAATGTAATGTAATGAAATCTAAAGTCAATGTTAATGTTAATGTTAGTGTTAATGTTAATGTTAATGTTAATGTATGTATGTAATGGTGCTTTATGTTATGTTATGTATTGTTATGTAATGTAATGTAATGCCATGTATATAATATAATGTAATGTAATATAAAGTAATGTAATGTAGTAATGTAGTAATGTAGTAACGTAGTAATGTAGTAATGTAGTAATGTAGTAATGTACTGTAATGTAATGTAATGTAATGCAATGTAATGAATGGTATGGTATGGTATGGTATGGTATGGTATGGTATGGTATGGTATGGTATGGTATGTATGTATGTATGTATGTATGTGTATATATGTATATGTACACACACATACATGTATACACAGTATATACATATAATTATACACATAATATAACAATATTGTTGGAAGACGCTGCGAGCACAGTGCACCACACATAGGAGACAGCCTAGGAGCTAACGGATGCACTCTGAGAATCGCATATTCGCATGTGACCAGAGACCCCACAGTGCTCCACAGTTGTTTCGATCAATGAATGCTTTTGTTTAAGCGCACTTCATGGCGAACATGCCGGTGTCAATTTCCCGCCACGTGGCGTGCATAGATTCCTGGATGCTGGGATGATTCAAAGAGGCATTTATAATCATTTGCATTCAAACTGGGGGCCACTATCCGCACGAAGGGATGAGGTAATATGAGCAGGGATCCAGATTATCGCACAATATATATATATGGAGCGTTCACTGCAGATGTGTTGTTGGTGCTTTGGGTTGGAAAACGATAGGGTACGTTAAAAAACGATAACGATACCCCTTATTTTACCGGGGTTTGAATATCTACACATACGCACAGATGCACACACACACGCACATCACATGTTCTGGTATGGTGACAAACGTGTAGATGCTGCCCGAACTTGCAAGAAATGGCGTCAGGGAGCAGGAAGATATCCCTTTGAATAATATGTGTGGGAATTAATTTATCAGAAGCACATGCAAATTCAAGATCGATATGTGGCTTGGGGTGAGGGTCGGATGGCTCCCGTGGCCCAGGTGGTCTTGCAATGCATGTAGATCATGTAGCACCTTGGCAGTCTGTCTTCTGTGGGCATCAAATAGGTCGCTAGGGCCGCTAAGGTTCAGCACCCGGATAAAATTCACAATGCAATATACAGCTGTTGAGGACATTTAAGGACCTGCGGAAACAACACCACTCTTGACTCTTTGATGCTGGATTCTCTTTGTTTCAGGCTGCAAACGTTTGGGCAACTGAGCATTTTGCCGAAGTATGTGGAGAAACTGCTGCGCGGCATTTTGTTCCCAACCATTCCCTTTGTCGGAGTTGTGAATCTTACGAACTGGCACGGGGTTGTGTATCTATCTAGCTATCTATCTGTCCATCCATCCATGGTTATATTTATCAATCTAATCTAATCTAATCTAATCTCATGTGATCTGATCTGATCTGATTTCATCTAATCTAATCTATCTATCTATAGATTGCAGTGACTGCGTCACATCACAAGGTGGTTGTTTTGGTGAGGTTACTCGTGCGCGTGTGCAGCCCCAGAACCTCTGGCAGGTGCATCGCTTTCGACATGTATATATTCACGTGACAAGACCGCCCCAGTCGAGGGACAGTTTTGTGTATATATCTTGCATCGAAAAATGTTGTGAACTTTTTCAGCATATACTAAAATGACTAAACAATTCACCCCCCTTTGCAATCACCCCCAATTGTCACCATTGTTGTATATTGTTGATATTGTTACATTTCTCTTTGCTGTCCAGCTGGATACGCCTGTCAGACGTGCTGCGACCCCTCACGCTACGATGGCTTTGGCAGCGTGAGCTGCTTCACTTCGCGCGGCTTGCAGGGCTGGGAAGCTCGGCGCTGCTGTAGCCTGCTGGTCTGCCGGGGGTGACTGGGGGTGATGGTCGCAGGATGTGGTGAGCATGTGGTGCTACTTTTGTAGACCTTGTGGCAGGCAGGGTCACTAAAATTAAACATGACGATTGAGGCCCAGATTGGACATATGGCAGCCATGATGTCGTTGCAAAGCGGAGGCTGTGCCAGGATGATGCCATTGCTCTGTAATATGTGCGACATCAAGATGGGATTGGAATAGAATGAGCTCAGTGAGTTGAAGGAACCAGGCTCTCAATCATCACGCGTTGGAATAGCACCGCCAGAAACTCTATGGCTCTATGGATTGCAGGAGCCAGGAAATTTCACCGCCGAGTTGTGGAGAAGTTTACTTCGCAGACGCCGTGGCACCCGCATGCCATCCACAGCGCCAAACGCTTCGAGTGCCACACCTGCACATGTTTTGGAGCAGCTGAAGAAGTGCCCTCAGGGAAGCTGCACACTACGTTGATGACACTTGATAACAGTTGTTGTATAGGATGTATAGATATAGGCACGGGATTGGGCAAGTTTTTTTCCGATTCCAAGCCGCATCAAAAGTGTGATTATCACAAGCTGATGTAGATGACCTGTCCTGCCTTCGAATTAATGATGTCGCATTTTTGCCCTTGAATGCAGGATGCGGGGGCAGTTAGCAGCAATCCCACTTGCCATATACGGATTGCTAGATACCTGCAGATACCTGTGCAAGCGCAATGCACGAACCGAGGCTTTATACTGGTGGCATACCACAAATCTGGTGCAACCCTTTCAATGGCTTTGCTGACTCGTCCCCGGATGAGGCGGCTTTTGCTTGGCAGCAGCAGCAGCCCGTCAACGATGGGAAAGTGGAACGCACACGAAAACAAAAACTTTGGGCTGTGCTGCCCATGCTCTAATGTATTCTGTAGGACGAACAGAGCATGGGGACAGTTGAGTTGAAGATCCCCAAGCCGCCTGTTTGCTCTGTAAGTGTGCCACTGGTAAGATCCAAATTCCGAGGCGTCAGCATTTCGTGGGCGAGAAGTCTTTGGACGGCGACTAGTCCATCATTCCAACGTGGTGTCTTTTTGCAGGAGGCAAAGGTCAAAATTATGACTGGCTGTGAGATATCCGAGCATCAAGAGGGCTCTATATAGTGCTTATCTTTCTGACATCTGTGACGGTCGATGAGAAGTAAACTGAGACCATTTGAGACCTATCTGTCCCAGGCAGGCGAGGAGAATTGAGGAGAGGCCCTATTTTTCTGCTTCCTGCTTCCTGTAAGCCGATGGAATCCTTCTGTCGCAGGGCCCACGGCGAATGATGTCCTACTGGATAGCCCCTTCGCAGATGGCGCATCCTGAAATCCTGAATGACTATCTAATACCTGGCGCTGCTTGGCATGATACCTTTGGAAAACTCTTTGGAAATGCGCTGGGTGGGTGGATGCGGGAAGGACTTTTTTTTTGGTGCAAGGCTGTCACAGTGGGAATGAGAGCCAGGTGCAGGCTTCAGAAATGTCCAGTCAATGTGGGTGTTATGGTGGACCTAAATTGTGTACAGATTTTGCATGCTCACGGCTTTGTACAAAGGATGCAAGAGTGGTGCACATGGTGCGAAAGCCTAGCGAGCTCATTGTGACCCTCGGTCTGCAGCTAGTTCACGCCCGGGCCTGTAGTCGTCTCAAGAACACGGTGCCATGGAATGCTTAACGTGCGATTTGCGTGGTATTACTTCATATCACCTGAATCACTTGACGTTTTCAGGACAGTTTCGATGTGCGGAGCCGGCTGAAACATATGACAAGATATGACAAGCTCCTTCGACATTGACCAAGGTCCGGCTACCTATATCACTTGCGTTCAAAGGAGCCATGGGACAAATTGCGCGATCCGCCAAACTGCAACAACTGTGATCATGGCGCATGGAGGACGACGGGAAGTGTGGGATGACCTGGGCTTGACAAATCGGTAAAGTCCGAGACTTGGGTGAATCATCGAGTCTATTGTCGTGCTTAAGATTGAATAGTGACACAGTAGTGTATAGTAGATTATAGTAGTGTATTTTGCTGGAATTTGCGATATATATATATATATATCCTGCTAATCGGTTTGAATTGACCACGAGATGATGGGCTACATCGTTGTTGGTCCAGAAAGTTGCTAGACTGTGAGTCCTCTGCATGCACTGAGAATGCTTCAATCAGGCAGAGCATTATCATGGCACAAGTTCACTCTAAGTTCCCATGATCAATTTCAAGACTAAGCTTAGTGGCAGGGCACGATGGGCACTGTCTTGTTTCTACTTTATCTTCTCAACTGGCTCCGCCTGTTGGCTGTACAGCCAGAGTATCAAAATGCCATGGTGGTGCCATCTTGCTGGAACCATGCAACTGCAAAGGCTTGGTCGGGAAGAAGCATGCAATGTTGATGGTGATGACATGTCGACAAGGCTTCTCTCATTTTCTTCATGTTATTTTCAGGCCATCCTCTTTAAAAGCTTCACCTTGGTGGCAGCCTGGAACTCTGCTGCTACGCAAGACAACTTTTATACCTTCCAGGAGATCTGGGTTTGAACATCCTCAGTCTCCTTGGGCGAACTTGACTGAACTTGCGTCGTGGCAGCTTCTACTGACAGAATCAGTCAGACATGCGAATCAAGATCGTGATTGCAGACCTTGTAGTAGTTGCCAAAATTGCGGTGATTGCATTCTTCAATCACAACTAATCACACAAGCTCAGCTGCAATTGATACGTTGCTTCTTGTTCTTGTTCTTGTTGTTGTTGTTGTTGCTGTTGTTGTTGTTGTTGTCGTTGTCGTTGTGGTTGTGCTTGTCGTTCTTGTTGTCGTCGTCTTCGTCGTGGCATAGGCATCGCTTTGGGATACGTCGGGTGCATCGCTTCGGGCTACGCCTCATGCATCGCTTCGGGATACCTCAACATCATCATCATCATCATCATCATCATCATCATCATCATCATCATCATCATCATCACCATCACCATCACCATTATCATCACCATCATCATCGTCATCATCATCATCACCATCACCATCACCATCACCATGATCACCATCATCATCATCATCATCATCATCATCATCATCATCATCATCATCATCACCATCGTCATCATCATCATCATCATCATCATCATCATCATCACCATCACCGTCGTCATCCAGAATAGACATATTCCATCATCATCATTATCATCATCATGTTACCCATCATGAGGGGTGGGAGGGCGGGTACCCCATCATCATGTTGTCCACTCATGGTTGACCATCATGTTCACCACCAAGTGAGCATCACCACCATCATCATCATCATCATCATCATCATCAGGATCATCATCATCATCATGATCATCATCATCGTCTTCATGATCACCCTTGTTATAAGCATTTTCTTCTTCCGAGTATTATCCATCTTCATCTTCCTCATGTTCATGGTGATGATAGCGTCACGAGAAGATGTGATAGCGCGAGCTCATGTTGGTGTGCAGGTGCAAGAGAGGATCGGCTCATGGTGTAATGATGGAGTCAAGTAATGCCTGAGTCAAGGAATGATGTAAGTAGAATGACCCCTCCCCCCAACCAAACAAACCCTAAATGGCTGAGTCAAGTAATGATGTAAGTATAATGACCCCACCCCCCCGAACCAAACCCTAAATGGCTGAGTCAAGTAATGATGTAAGTAGAATGACCCCTCCCCCCCAAACAAACCCTAAATGGCTGAGTCAAGGAATGATGTGAGTAGAATGGCACCTCCCCTCCAAACAAACCCTAAATGGCTGAGTCAAGTAATTATGTAAGTAGAATGGCCCCTCCACCCCCAACCAAACCCTAAATGGCTGAGTCAAGTAATGATGTAAGTAGAATGGCCCCTCCCCCCAACCAAACCCTAAATGGCTGAGTCAAGGAATGGTGTAAGTAGAATGACCCCTCCCCCCAACCAAACCCTAAATGGCTGAGTCAAGTAATGATGTAAGTAGAATGACCCCTCCCCCCACCCCTCCAAACCCTAAATGGCCAAGACCAAACCCTAAATGGCTAGAATGTCAAGAGAATGATGTAA